ACCAGGCGAATGCAATGCGTTCAGTGATGAATTGCAACAGTTGTCAGATAAAATTACGCAGAAGGAAGCGGAGGTTTTGGGACATCTGGAGACAAAGGAACGCGAACAGAAGGTGCTGATTGAACGGCTGCTGCGTAACTTCTCGGATATCTTCAGAGTCCATCTGACTGACCTCATCTACTTAGAAGGAATGGCGCGGTGCCTGCGTCGTGCTCAGGTAAGTTCTGGCCGAATGCTGTAGTATTTCACCCCGAACGGGAATGCAAGAGCTGACCCGGAAATACTGCTAATCTAAAATGGAAAATAATTAAACAAAAGAGGCTATAGAGCATTTGAGTGGGCAGTAAAAGTGCATTTACTTGGAAAAATTTGCAACCATGAGAATTGGTGTTTTGCCGAGCCTTCTGGAGGGGACATTTCGGTATAAAAATAATCAGAATCTTGGAAAGTGAGCCTCCAGCTGCCAATCCTGATGTGTTACGCGCATTTTTCATCTCATTGCTCACCTAAATTAGGTTTTGGTGAATGGTTTTGATGCTGTTTATGTCAGTTTCACTGGCACAATCTCAAATTTACCCGACTCAAATTAAACTCGAGGTGAGCTGATTATTCATCGTGGTTCTCCCGTCTGGTGATATTCCGCGAGTGCACAACACAGGATGTAACAGCTATACGCCTGAATAAAAAGGTCCACTGTGTCCATTACTAATTTTTCCAATTATATGAAATACCTTTTAAAATCCAAATTACTTATTGAGAGCTTTCCTTTGGTAGACTAGGAGAAAAATGCAACTGTCCTAGCCAAAACATAGGTTCTCGAGTTATCAAGTTGATTTGTTGCCAGATTAACATTCGTGGCAGGAGCAAGGGAGACTGGAATGGTCACTTAGCCAAAATAAGAATGCTATCACGAAGCTCAGGCTAATAATAGCAGGAATAATGCAAGAAGTAAAAAATTGAAAGTCAAACGACCTGATAGCCAACAGATGCTACGCATAAGCCTTCAAGCGTGGGTTGTACACGTTGCCAGACTCTTGCTCATTTGGGTAAGCAAATGTTTTATCTCGCTGGCTGGACATGTCTTGTACGAAGTTTGTTCGTCAAGTAGGCTCTGAGCTTTCGCTTGGTAATCAGAATTGTTGAGCACTACTGTGGAACGACCTTTGTCAAGCGGCAGAATGATTATTTTTTTATCGGCTTTTAGACTTTTAATGCTCTCTGTTCTTCTAGGCACAGAGTTCTACATCTTTTGCGTTGCATAAGCAGCGATGATGTTTTATGGCGGGTTAAATCTTTTGTATCTTCTGAGGCCTTTGATGATCGAATAGCTGATTCAAGGGCGGCGATGAACTCAGCGGCTGAAGCATCTGCTGTGTCGAAAGTTGCTCCACGCCTTAGAATTGCAAGTTGTGTGGCGGTGAGGGATTTTGACTAAAGGTTGTGGACCAGGTCTGAGTTCTTATTGTCGGCTGGTTTCAACCTCTTAATTTTTTGCTCCAAAACCTCCCTTTTCTAGGCCTGCCTGTGACGTGCCAAAGCTGAGATAGTCTTTCCCAGATTATCAGCGATAAAATCTCCGAAGATCGGGAAACACTCTCTTCTGTTCTCCTCAACCTTAGCCTTGCATTTTTGTAGTCGTCGGTGGCGGTCGTCAATAAAAACTCTCGTCATCTGCTTGGCAATTCGTCTTGCGACTTCTTTGCCCATAGCCGTATTAACGGGAGCCCTATATCTGAGGCATTTTGGTGTCAGTTCTTCTTTGAGGCACTATTGCCTCTATTGACACTATTTAATGAATCTCCACTGATCGCTAACGTAACTAACACGAGCCACTTTCCCTTAAAACCCACTTTTTTCTATCCATGCATTTTCAGTCACCTTGTTACCAATAGGGAGCTCAACGGCATTTGCCTAGCTTTCCCTCAATAAACTGATAGTGCTACTGACCTACGACCGTGACTGTCAGTCAGACCTTAAAACCCAAATGTTTCCTTGCTTTAAGACGCAAATCAAAGCCGAAATTGCTGACAGCAGCAGTCAGGGCCGCAAACTACAGGAGCACTTGGATGCGATGGAGGCGAGTATGCGAGATCTGGCCCAGTTGCCGACTTTCTTGCCGTCGGAGAAAAACGAACCATTGAATGCGATCTTGCAGGCGTACTCTGAACTTGTTACGGGCGCCAGCCACAGATGCATCTATTTGGGATGTTTGAAGATGCAAGCATCCAGTCCAGCCAGCGCCGGAATTGACATATCGGCTGAGCATCCTCCACGCCCATTTAAACACGTAAAATCATTGGTGAGTTTTAGGTAATTCTAATGTATGCAGCACCAAGATGACAAACTTTAAAATTATAGACTACGAGTTCGTATTATGTCATATTAACTTTTTCCAGAAAGGTCACGACTGGGGCAGGGTTTTTGGATTTGAAAAAATTGATTAATTCCTTGTCTCATGCTACTAAAGCAGCGTAATTATATTCTTTTATCCTTAAGTATTCCACGACTCAGCATTTTGTAAACTGCGTACAACAACTAAAAACCAAAAATTAAAGACAGAACAAAGAGTAGCTGACCAAATCAATATGGACCTTTTGTCCTTTCAAAAGTGTATATCCAGGAAAAGGAGGGCCAATTTTTGATCAAATGAATGTTGATAAATTTAACAAAAAGCAACGGGTTGAGTGGTCTAACTGCAGAGATTTTAGATCTGGTCGAGAGTCTTGATCAAACTCTTAGAAAATATTTTTAATATCAAGTCCGACCGCCAATAGGTTTCGCTGTATAATACCTTGTACTATAGGAACCGAAAACACCGCGTAACGAACATAGATTTCAAAAAATTTGACGTTTAACACATAAGTTGAAACTCCATAGAAAAATATCTGATATCGCGATAGTGGGAAATAGTAACCATGCATTGACAAACGAAAGAGGCAATTACATTTCATTCAGGGGTTTTGGCAGATTTCTATAATTTAGTTGACCCGCGAGTTTTTTCATAATTGGGTCAATTTATTGAAATTTTAGTTTAACCAATCAAAAAGAAGCACTTTAACGAGCTAATTCGATCTTCTGGTTCTCCTACTTACAGTTCCAAGGACTGTGTTAGCTTAGAAGAACAAATTCTGACTCTTATAGGAGGCATTCGAAATCAAGTGCGTATGACATTGACAGACCTGCCCTGAGTACCGAGGATACCATGTGTCAGCATAGGCCTGCCTTATGGCTCTAAGTTATAGAATTTGTCTAGCAAACGGTTGATATTGGAGAGGTTTGCTGAATTATAAAAGACATGTTGGGTTCCCACAGTCATCAGAGGAGACCGTTCCACAGGGCTAAGTTTTTGTACCATGTTATTCGCTCTTTTCATCGAGAACTGCATCTGGGACATAGAATGTGATGCAATTTGTTCGC